TCTTATATCAAGGCAATCATCTAAMTCATCAACACCTGATAGTCACAAAGAACCCTTACAAGAACATAAAGAAATAGATAATGGCACTGAATGTAGGAATGGTACTGTGTTAAAACAGGATAGCGAAGATGGAAGACGTAACTACAAGCARGAGGAGAGRTTAGAATCTGACATTGATGTTGACGAAGARGTTACYTCACCAGACTCTGAGTTAGCAGTAGATGTTGTAAATAGTCCTGGTTGTATGTCTGATACTAGCGAGTCTAGATCAGATACCAGGTCGGATTTTGGTACAGAYGAAGCATTTGAATGTACAGTGGGAGATAAAATACAGGTTAAATATGGTAGAGGAAGAAATAGAAGACTTTATGAAGCAAAGGTGAGCCATTCAGTGGTTTACAATAAGTCTGGGACCAGGGAAAATTATAATCAGTATATATGAAAGACTGGTATATTTATAATATGTTATGCTTAGGGTAACGTTTTTTTATCGTTATTATCGTTGTTTAGGTTGTCACAGTTGATCCTGACGCTGAAGAAGGCCTTTTATACCTTATTCATTACACTGGCTGGAATACCAGGTTTGTGTTTCCAATAATATAGAAACAAAGGAAAGGAATAGTGCTTATTAGTGGTTATTCCGGGAGAAAGACCCTTGGAAATATATTTGGAAAAATCCGACCTTGCTGGGATTCAAACCGAATGTTGATAATACTGTGTAAAATTGTTTAAAAAGGCTACAATGTATATTAATCACTTCTTGATATGAGTAGAGATAACACTAAAACAATAAGAGCACTTGCATTCCACCAATAACCTGAAAACACTTTTTTTTCTGTGTATAGATACGATGAATGGATCAGCCCAGACCYTATACTTGGCAAAAGCACTAAAGTTTCAAAAAAGAAAGGCCCAGCTCCAAAAGAAGTTCAGAAAAATAAACCTACACCAAAACTGCAAGGTAAGCAGTTAGTACGTTCACAGAGTAAAAGAGGAACAAAGAGCCCCTCACCAGCCAGCCCTGGGGCTAAACCTAGTGATGTTAAACCCACTAATGGTAACAAGACRTCACATCGGGACTCTCCACCACTTGAACATGCACCTTCTCCAACATCAATGAAGCAAACAACAAAAAATGGTACAACTACACGGAGGACACGGTCTGATAGAAACTCTTTCTCTTCAAATGGATTAGAAGAAGGTCAGTTGGATTTTGTTTTTCATTTTTTGATATTCCTGGCTCAAACTTTGAAATAGCTTATGCAGTGTCATTGTGAAATGTTTTATTTACTTGCGTGTTCTAAATGTTATTTGTTTGTGCGGTTAGTTTGGTGCTGAACAGGATATAACATGTATATATAATTTTTCTGTATAATACTGTTTGCTCATTTTTGGCAGCTTCTTTGGTCACAATGTTGTTATTTTTTGGCTATACAATGAATTATTGTATGTTTCATTATTGGTTCGATATCACTCAAAAAAAAACATTATTTTGTTTGATTGTTTCAGCTGTTAAAAGTCCACCTTCTAAAAGAAGACAAAAATCTTTGACTCCTGAACCAGGTAAGACAGTTTATTTGTGAAATATTAGGTTAATTGATCAATYAAAACATATTTTTCCTGTTTTCAGAACTATCTAAGACTTCAGAAAGCTCTAAAGAAAACCAGGTATGTGTGCCAACAAGTGAAGGATCTAGTGGAGCTCAAAGCAGAGTCAATGAGGCTACTGAACCTCTAYTTAAAGAAGAAAAGTCTGAAASTCTTGATAACGACTGTGAAGAATCCACCAATGAAAAGGCTGAGTCCAAGTCAAATGAACTTGTAAAATGTCATGAAAAAGTAAATTATAATTCTAAACTAAGACCATGGTCGAAACTTCCCAATGGAATTATCAACTACAGCAGTTCTTCAGAATCAGGKAGTCCTGAGCARTTGGCTGCTGAAATTGATGTAGAACCTTCTWCTAAGAAYGTTAAAGTTGAAAAAGAAATTGACAAGGAAGAAATTGAGAAATTATTGAATGCAGAYGTAGAGGGAAAAGAGCCTATATCAGCTCCACATTCACAAGGAAGCTGCACTTCAGACACCCAGAGTGGAAACTCAAGCTCGACACATGAAGACAGACAGAAGASCTCTTCACCAGTGGATAGTGAGCAGAAAGCYAGTTCTTCTGACAYCAATGGAGGAAATAAGTCYAATTCTTCAGGTATAAAAACAAATGACTTTTTTTGSCCAYCAWGAATTTCCTTTGTACATGAAGGAGCTTCTCACACATAAATATTTTTTTTCCTTTAAAAAGTATTTTAACAATAATCTTTTATAATTTATTTTTACCAAAACAAAGCGGCATTGCATAAATAGGCTATACTACACATTTTACAACAAGATTACTTATTTCTTTTTTTGTAGAAGGTGAAAATAGCAAAGAAGAGAAGTCAGATAACAAGGAGGAAACCAAAASTGAGAAGAAAGAAAATGATCGTGGKAAAAGACACCGCAAGAAGAAAGAAAGAAAACGACAGAGACAACATTCCATGAATGAAAATAGTAATGATGGATGCAGTTCTAATGCATCTCCATCCTCGAAGTCATCTCCCACTAGACCTAAAATATGTTTTAATGCTGACCTAGGTAAGAAAAACTTTGTTCCTTTACTTTAACAGTTGCTGAGAAACCTGAAATGTGAATACAATCATGAAAAAGTTAAAGGCTTCTACATGTTTATTTACTATTGCATAACTTCGTAAATTTAAATTTATTGAATAATCGTAAATTAATTATGATGCCGGATATTGTCTAGTAGATTTGATTGGTATGTTATAAGGTAAAGCTTGCCATTTACTGACAATCATGCTTTAATGATTATTTTAGAGTCAATAAAGTCAATGGAAGATGGCTCAGAYCGCATACGTCTCTTACAATTGAAAATCAATGAAATGAGAAAATTATATGGGTCCCTAAAAGCTGAGGTAGCAAGCATAGATAGAAAACGAAAGAAGTTAAAGAAAAAGAGAGAAGGTAAGGTTGTTTTTATGTGTGTTTTTTTATGATTATTGGTGTTAAACGATGCATCGAAATATCGAATAATTGCAATGTCAAAGCTGCAATAGCAAGGCATCAATTGCAAAATTGCGCTATCAATAACTATTGCCATACTTAACTTTAACTATCAATAGTTTCTTTCTAAAAAGATTTTAAGCAAAACCAAAGTTGTTAGCGATTAATTTGTAAAAAGAAATGCACAACAGAGCATGTAAACGATAGTTTTTTAAAATAATTAACGTGATGCTATTGTTTGTGGCAAAAACTGCTCATTAACCAACACTAGTTTGGGAGTCYATATATTGTTTGTAACAATAATTCCATTTTTCTAACAGAGTGCAATAATATACCTATGAAACAAACAAAAAGGACTAAATATAACYTATTGTACTTCCACAAAAAATATTGCTCTGAATGAAAAATAATCCTTTATTGTTTGTCTTTTACAGAGAGTGGCTCTCATGATAGTAAATCTACTTGTGTGTCATCAAGTCCTGCTACCGTGGAGTGTAGATAGTAAGGTCTGATTTCAATCCATATGCAATCCAAATCTTAATTTAATATGTAACTCTATTATAATCCTACATAGTATTCCGTAAGGAATCCTCTTGTATCAAAATATGTAGTATATAATATTAGTTTTTGAAGGTAAAAGGGAAAGCTTTTTTAAAAAAAGGTTCATGTACTTTCTACCTTTCAAAAAAACTTGAAAATCTCAAATATTCATAATCTTATCATCAAAATTATCAAAATRAGCCCGATGCAATCATGATAATATCTAATTTTTTAAGTCCATGTATAAAGGTGTATTTGGTGTCAAGACTTGTAAAATGTGTGCCATTGTTTTTATTGATTTTTTTCAATTATGTTAGATGGAAGTCAGTTTTCAAGACCATATTTTTCCGAGTTTTAATTAAARAGTGAACTAAGCTAGCCAAAAATAGAGAATTCATATAATGCATCCTTTTCAATCAGCGTTGTTGCCTAAAAGCAGAAAAAGTAAGCTCAAAGAGTATCATGGGAAATGACATTTTTGCAGTGTTTGACCCAAATTTGTGGTCTCCCTGTGGACGGCCCGACAAGTTTTATGATTAATGTATACTTTTCGCTAAATTTTSTTTGAAATTGGCTATTTTGTGACTRTGAAAAGGATAACAATATTTATTAAATTATTCCAAATTTGTAAAGCTCTACTTTGACTGGCTAATTGATTGGTTAATGTAGTTTTAGCACTATGAGAGCTAACTATTCCATTTTTACCATATCACTACAGCAATGCAAAAGTACCTAAGATTTTCAGATTATGTTATTCAACTTGGGTCATAGCTGTTGAGAATGGTTATTCATAGCTTTGTACATCTCACCTTCCCTTACAAAGACCAAGTCTGATGTAGCTAGCTGCATTAAGTGCATCACTGGGTACAGTTAATCAAGGTTTATTATATTGCTTATAATTGGTACTGTGTTTGATTGCCTATAACCCATGGTMAAGGTTTACAAGTCGGCTCCAGTAAAAAAGTAGTGGCAACGTGAATTGTTTTCATTGACATTGTAAAGCTATGATGATCCATTCTCATCGGCTATGTATATAATACCCACGTGTTGTGAACAGCCATGTATTATTTATTTAAATTTGTGAGGTAATGTTTCGGGTTACTCAGCTTTATCACAACCATTCTTTTTAAACTCTTTTCTAATACCAAGTCGAAATCTTTTGTGCTTTTATCATTTTTAAAAGTGTATTTTTTGCGAAATATATATATATCCCCATAGATTATAAATATGTGTATATGTAATTGATAAATTGTCCATTTATTTATTTCATTGTATTGCTAGAAATAACTTAGCATTAGACATGTGTCATTTATTGGTGAGACTATTATGACCTAGTAGTATATGGATTGCAAGTGATTGGCGATTTTGTAAACCTATGTAGTGCCTCTTGGGTCTGAAGAGCATGTAAGGGCGCGCTTGTGTAGAATGTCTATACATAAAGACCGTGCGAGTAGAGTACACAGGAATCTCAATTCTTTTCGCKGTCTCCTTGGCAGCTTTAAGGTATCACGAAACTGATAAGTGGCTGCGAAAAGTCTACAGTAGTTTTCGAGGCTTTCAATAAAGGCTGGTCACTTAATATAGAAAGTCTTTTTTTTTTAACTTAAATGTATTTGCAGTAATGTTAATCATTTTTAACCAACTCGCTTCTTACATAACTATTTTATATGGAACAAAACTGCAAATACATTAGGCAAACTCTTACATTTTGCAGCGTTTTTCAAAACTACATGGATTTTTATTGTTTATACTACGTAAAAACGTTGCGGAGAAAATTACTTTACATGCTTGCGCGGTATTTGTTTGCTCCCGGCTAGCACTACCGTTCCAGGACGGAGCTTCGCCTTTTTAGCATAGACAATACCAAAGGGCGATGGCCCAGATCTCCTCACATTCCCAAGAGGCAACACATGGGTCTGAAGACCTTACGCACAAACAGTGCATTTTACAATTAAACCTAAAGATTTGTGAATGAATCTTCATGTCAAATAAATGTGTATTATTGAATGAATATTCTTGTGAGATTTTCTTTACTTATAGTAAGATGTACTAGCGTATCATTACGTACTTTGCGTGACAAGGTAACAGGTTGCGT